TGGAATCACCCTCTTCGAAGTGCTCATGTACACAGGTGTGGGCGAGGACGAATTGTATTTTGTGGCTCGAAATTTAGGGGGTAACCCCCACTGGAGAATACGAAGGCTACTCAGTGAGGGGAAGTGGTCGAACAACCCATGTATCAAACGTGTACAAGCGGGAAGAGCATGTTTCTCCTGGTCAAAGCCAAGTAAAGAAGATTGCGGAGACATTGAAAGGGTTGAGGCTGGCTTTCTGCAATTTAACAGGCCATTATCTCTACTCGATCATATGCTTAGATGATATTCGGAAGTGGAGACACAGATTTCCAGTCGATCCCCTTTGGCTGAAAGAAATCCTCTTCCCATGCCGAGTGCTCTTCTCATGCCGGGCGGATTCAGCGCATTGTCATGAAGGCACGTAATTATGCGCACGACTCAAGCAGTTACGTCAAATCTCGACCTGGCAATAATCTCTCAATTGGCTGCTGACTAGCACATAACAGAGTGTATACCATGACACCATCACATAATTACTCTCTCGAAAGCCTCGCCCAACCCTCTACCCACCAGCCAAGCTTCAAGGGCCTTCATATCTCCCCTATTAGCCCTCTCTCCTCTCCGCTCTCCTAGCGAATCTGTGATCTCTTCCATTCCCGAAAAGGCTCTTTGCACCCCATTCCCTTCTTCCCTATACCTCTCGCTAACCTTCTTTTGATGACTGGGTATATCACCCCAAGACTCCGTTTTGATGAATTTCATGTAAGCATCTACACTCTTTGACGTACCCTCCAGACACAACACTCCGGGCTTCCCCGCTAACACAAAGCCCGTCAATCCATATCCCGGCGCGTGATTGACCAGATCATCTCGCTTCTCGCGTGTCGAGAGAGAAGGGAAGTAGAACCAGACTCTTGAAATCGGCCCCGCTTGCACTGCTGCAGCACTTCCTCCGCTTCCGAGACCATAAGCGGATTGTTGGATCGAAGACTTGATGTATCTCGGCGCTTCATCCCGTATATATTCGATAGCGGAGAAGACATCATCGCCGGGCATTTCTGCAGAGAGCTCGGCCACTTCCGCTTTAGACATCCAGTCCGGTTGCCGCACTACCACTTTTAGTGGCGGTGCCTCCGCTGGTTCCGGATCTGATGATTGCAGCGGGATCGAGATATTCAATTGAATATGGTGATTATCCCCGCTTGTCCCTAAGTCCTGATTGTTCTCGATCGATAGATTGAGTGTCGCAGATATTGTGGGCGGGACAGCAGAAGGTAAAACCTTTTCATCAATACACCAGTGCTGTAATTGGGAGACTAAAAGCTTGGTGTCTGGGCTGAGAGATAGCTCCTCCGATTCTGGAAACATTGCTTGGAGGAGATCTATCATTGCGAGTTGAGACTCCATTATTTCGCGGGGGAGAGCGAAATATATGTTTTGTTTGTCTTGCATGGTGGCGGTGATGGGCCGTTTGAGCCCTTATTGGTATGAAGGCGTATGGCTGTGAGGTCACAATTCAGTCGAAAGGCTCCAGTGCTCTCGTTTTCCTTCTTGATGGTAGTGCAAGGCCGTGCTGACCTTGGCCAATGATGCTCGATTATGTATCTTCTTCAACTTTTTTTTTTTTTTACAAAGGGTCTGGGAGTGTTCAGATGGTTTCGAGATGAACTTCACATGCCCAGAACTGACAATTTATAATGTTGTTTAGATCTTTAGATTCCTGTTGACTCAGTATTTCTAATGTGAGCCCATCAAGGTGGCTGTCGCACAGGAGCAGATGTTGAGAATGTACAAAGGCCTGTGCGCTATACCAGACCCTGTTTAGGCGAGGTGGCACCGAAAATGTGATGAGACGCCATGCATGAGTACTCGCGTGGCCTACATGAAATGATATATGATCGAGGTTCTCGTATATGCACACACATGACCCCAACGAATCGAGAGTCCATGAAGCTTCTTTTGGCTCAACGACGGGGTGGGAGAAATGAGATTATTGTATACGAGACTGCATCACCGCCACCATTCGTCTCTTCTGCCTCTCTCCTCCTGACATATCAGACATCACACTCGGAGTATCGAGCTTGTCCCATCCCTTCCAGCCAGACACGAAAGCTCTCGTATCTGTCCGTCTCCACTCCATCTTCATATATATGATAGCAGGGACGAGTGTTGACTAATACATGACGTCCGCCCCGAAGCTCAGAGTTGGATAGATATCGCATCTCAGTGGTCAAACGGAAGCTTCTCGACGGAGATATGAACCATTGACATTATCTTCTCATGCCATGACGTTTACCAAGACCTTGCCACTCAACATATACAAATATCTTATCCTCGGCTCCGCATGTGTTGGTCGGTCCAAGGCTCAAGCTTTCCCCTCGGCTTCAAACGTTCGGACCGGCGGGTTCAGGTCTGTGCGTCACATCTCCAAAAGTCCGTAAACATCGTATCATTTCTCCATGAGGATGGCTACGATAAGCAATCCTGGCGCCTAAGTGATAAGACATTCACCTTTAGTGACTGTCTGACTGTGCTGTCCTCATTTTCACTTTGCAAATTGTCCCTCTTTTTGCGAAGAAAATCAACTGTCGCGTGATCAACGGGGGTTGTAGACAATTCAAGAATAATTTCAACAAAGTCCAGTGCCCCGCATTAAAGTTACTTTCCCGCACAGCTTCCAGGCTCCGGACCGCGGTCCTCCTGGTAAAGGATACCAAGCCCAACAACCCCTCCAATCCGTCTCTCATTGTTGAAGGTTGCAGGCTACCTTACACCAGACATTCACTTCCTGGAACCGAGTCCGAAGCTGCATCCTGAATACCAGTCAGCATCGCACCTTCTTCAATCCATCCATTCTGTCCCTATCCCTACATCATACATGCAAAAATGCCTTCCTCGGCTACAACGGAATTGCCGCCTTCCAAAAGACGGCGCGTATCGAGCTCAGCGGAAGAGATGGAGCTCTTCCCCTCGACAATCAAAATCAATGTTTCGGGCGCCTACATAATCGACCACGTGGACAATTCGCCGTCTCCTCCATCACCTGCTTCTCTGGATTCAGAAACAGAACAACAGAATACGCTTCAATCTGATGATGGAGGCTACGAGCATGATAGACGGGATATTCGGCTGCCAAATCATACGAGCGTCGTCAGTCATGTAGCTGCGGATATCGGTGGCAGTCTAGCAAAAGTCGTATATTTCAGTCGAGAAGTGGGCAGACAACCGAGCGGCGTTGCAGGCGCAAACACATTGGCTGGTGTTGCAGGCACCTTGGCCGGCGTCACGGCGGAAGAGAGTGAGCCAGCTGATGGTGAGAAAGTCCGAGGCGGTCGATTACACTTTCTGAGATTCGAAACCGAACGCATTGATCAGTGTATCGAGTTCATGCGCGACTTGCAAATCAAGCAAAGAGAAGGATGGGCGGAAGCCAAGGATGGAAAAATCAATGATGGGGAGCCTAAACTGTGCGTCATGGCTACCGGTGGTGGAGCATTCAAATATTATGATCGGATAAAGGAGAGGCTTGGTGTGGACGTCATTCGAGAGGATGAGATGAGCTGTCTGATACAAGGTGAGTCATGGAGACTATGTTGACAAGAGCAATGATGCTGATGCTATGCTTGCCAGGCCTTGACTTCTTCATCACCGAAATTCCAAACGAGGTCTTCACCTACCACGACGAGGATGAAGAGGAACAAATTCACTATCGCTCCATCGAGTCGCAAGCTGCCGTCTATCCATACCTCCTTGTCAACATTGGGTCCGGAGTATCCATGATCAAGGTCTCTGGTCCCGACGACTTCCAACGTATAGGCGGTACTTCGCTCGGTGGTGGTACACTCTGGGGTCTGTTGAGCCTCTTGACGGGAGCGCGGACATTCGATCAAATGCTTGCAATGGCAGACAAAGGCGATAACGGAACTGTGGATTTGCTGGTGGGCGACATCTACGGCGAAGGTATGGGCTATGAGAAAATTGGTCTGAGCGAAAGGACCATCGCCAGTACCTTTGGAAAAGTCTTCAAGCGGAAACGAGAAGCCGAGAGAAACGCCGAGGATGGTCAGAACTTGGGCAATGGCAAGGGTGAAGACAATGGCAGCGAAAAGAGTCCGGAAGAGAGAGTCGAGGCTGAAGTAGGAGATGGCAGAATGTTCGAGCCCGCGGATATCAGCCGGAGTCTACTCTATGCTGTCTCGTGAGTCTTGCTCGTGTCATACACCCAGATGCACCCAGCTAACGATTCCACAGCAACAACATCGGCCAAATCGCCTACCTACAGTCGGAAAAACACAATCTCAAGCACATTTATTTCGGCGGCAGCTTCATCCGTGGTCATCGCCAGACTATCCACACTCTGTCTTATGCCATCAAGTTCTGGAGTAAAGGCTCTAAGCAGGCATACTTCCTCCGGCATGAGGGCTATCTGGGCGCTGTTGGTGCGTTCTTGAAGAAACAGCCAAGAAACTTTGGAAGAAGAGGAAGTAGTGCAGGTGTCAGGGACAGTGTGGAGAGAGGCGAGGAGAAGATGAAGTATCCCAGTGCTTGAGCGACATGTCCGAGGTCCGTAGGAGAGAAGAGTGAGAACGAGTATAGACGGATGCGGTAGAGATGCGCAGTATACATGCATCATGATAGAGCGCAAGCATAGCATAGCGTTGTAGCATAATTCTTGATACCCAATATAGTCGCGCACATATCAGTACAGCTGTTCATTACCCTAGCAAGAGAATCTCCGTTTCAGACAAATATGAGAGAAAGAAGAAGTATCGATTGGACATGGAATATATCTCTAAAGAATATTGCAAATGGAGGTACTGCCTACGAGTACTGAAAGCCAACGTAAGATTAGCATCCTTGGTGGTCATCAATACCTCAACTCCGCCAGCACCTGATCCTCCTCCCGAACCAAACCAAAAAAAAATGGAGGTAGTAGGTACCATAGCTTCAAATCAGCCACCATCCATGTACTCAACAAGTACAGCAAGCAGAGCCTGGGCAAAAATCGAACCAAAACAACAAGCCCGAGCTGGGAGTCGAACCCAGGGTCTTCGCATTACGAGTGCGACGCCTTACCACTTGGCCACTCGGGCTTCGTAATGCGGGGTAGCAAAACCTGATATCCTATATACCTACACCTAGATCCCCGTCTGATTTCATATGTCGACTTCGAGTTGTTATTCTTGCATTCGAAAGACCGACATCGATATTTTTTTTTATCGATATTCATCATTTTATTGACAGTTTCATCTACAAGCCAACTCGACGAGTCGGACTATCTAACTCCCGTCGATTTTAGTTAAGGGAAAGGGTGCTGCCTAACTGTCCTAGTAAAGCTGTTACTATAATTATACTAATATTGTCTCTAAAGGGATTAATTACTGCTATAATAGCTTAAAGAAGAGCTAGAAGTACTAGACAGGGTAGTAAAGGGCTGATTCAGCCTATCCGCTCTCTTAGTCCAAATAATAATACTGTTTTTACTAAAGATATAATAAAATATTTTATTAAAAGAATAATGAACGCTCAGAACAGCAAACTTAATAAACTGCTTAAGCAACTTAAGACTCAGAATAAGGTTCTCTATTAGAAGAATACTATTCTAATAGCGTTATTTAATATTATTATAAAAAAACTTAATACAGTTAAGACGAAGCTTAATATTATAGAAATAAGACTGAATACACGCTTATAAAAACTAAAAAGTTTAAAAAGGAATTTAAAATAATAAATACTAAATTAGTAGATTTAAAAGCTGATATTAAAATTCTTAATATAAAAATTAGGACTATTAGCTCTAATGTTAATAAAGGAAGAACAGTCCTTTTAATCTTTAAATAATTAAGCTTATTATCCCTAGCTAACTTTAAAATAGCAGTATTACTACTAATTTTATACGCTTTTATAGTATTAAGATTAGTTAATCCATTATTGTTAGCTATTTAACTTTATATAAGCAAAGGGACATTATTAACTTTACTAACTTTTCTAAAGAGGCTATAACAATTTCTAAATGTTATAATCAATATTAGCTAAATGCTAGCTAAATAACATAAGCCAGCTATAAATAGCAAAGCTATAGCAAAAAAAATTAGAGAAGCAATAGCATTTTAGCTATTAGTTTGCGTAGTTGCTATTAAAGGAATTCAGATAAGAGCGAGATCTATAAGAGTTATTACTTAAAATGAAAAAAATATAGCATAATTATAATTAAATAATAAATAAGTCTATTAAGTATTTAATATAGCTTAAATGTATAAAGAGGATTGTTTCCTAATTAAAGTTAATAACGTATTTAGAATAGTAGTCTTAATGCTAGGTATTAGAATAATCTATTTAGAATTCTTAGCAGAATTTATAGTTAAAAACAAGTTTATAAATGCTACTAAGGCATTCTGGCTATCTAAAAAGGAAAAATCAAAAGAATCTATAGTGGTCTACCTAGCTATAGCCCAAGATGCCTAATAAGCCCTTATTGAATAACAGGTTAAGATTAATGAAAATATAATATAGATTAGCAAATATAAGAAGCATTAACGCCTTTAGAGATGCTATAATTGCAACAAATACAGCTACTATTAGGCTAGATGCAGCTAATTAATAAAATGTAGCAAATACATAGAGGATTATAAAACTAATAATTATAAGGCTATAGCCTCTAAATATATAGTATATAGCAGATTATATATTGCTATAAATATAGGATGCTCTGTATACTATAATAAGGTTAACAGAATCTAAAGAGGTAGATAACATATTAGCCAGGCTACTTATAATGAAGATACAGAATAGCAAACTGTTATTAGCTAATAAACTAGATAGAAAGCCATTATAAGCAATGTATAATAGGAGACACTAGTTTCCTATTAGCAAATGTAAATAGATAATCCCTAGTCCAGCTCAGCCTTTTTAATAATCAATCTATTAATTATTTTGTAATAATTATAGTTATTAAACTAAGTATTACTAATATTGACAATAAGCTATATATTTCTTAATATCAGTGCTGGACTACTATAACTCTATTTATCTAATAAGAGGGACCAGCGCACTATGCGTTTTAATTACTATTATATATTTATAAAGATGTTTCATTTGTTTAATTTGCTATACAGTTATTAGATATAACTGTACAGGTTATCACTATCTTAATAGGACACCTTTTCATTGCGTTAATCTATATCCTAGGCTGTAGCCTCTTCTAAATAGGACTTAGGGGAGTCAATTACCTTTAGGCTCATTATATTAAGCAATATCATTTATAAAGCTAAAGCAAAGCATAGAGGAAACCTCCCTATTATAATAAAGAGCAATCTCAATTATTATAACCTAGTATAAGAAGGAATCAACATGCTATAATTATAATATATAGAAAAAAGTAAGCTAGTGCTCTAATAGATATATTAATATAATACCTTTTTAGCTTTATTAAATGGCATTATTACATTCCCCTAAGGACGCTTTAGGACAACTATTAATCTTATACTAGTATCTAACGCGCTAGAAAACCAAATCACTAAATGTAATATCTACCTAACCTAGCATAGATTAGACTATAAAGCTATAACGCTTTAAATTAAAAGAACTAGAACAGTTGCCTTATTAAAAGCTAAATACAACTTTAGAAAAACGGACTAGAATAAAGCTATTAAAGCGCTTAAAGGGTAGGAACTGTCAGTTGTTAACATTAATAATATAACTAAACTCAATCAAGCTGTTATTGAGATCTAGAATACAGTAAGCTAGTGTATTTATAACTATAGCCTAGTAGGTAAGGAATCCCTATATATGAAATTATAGTAGAATAATAAGCTTACTGAGCTTTATAATAAATATATATAATAACAGAACTAGAACAATGCATTACAAACTATAAAGCTAGATAAGGAAAAAAGTTAATATAAAGCTAGGTAAGCTAAACACTGGTTTTATAAAAACATCTATAATAAAAAGCGACTACATTGGAACAATTTCTTAGCACAGATAGATAACATTTAAAAAGCAGCTAGGTACCTTAACCTATAATTATTAACATTTAGCAACATCCTTATTATAATTATTAGCATTAAGAGCTAAGAAGTAGAGCTTAAAGGTAATAATGCTAAGGCAACTAAGCTATTCTAATGCTTTTTTTTACTAATTTTAAAAAGCTAGAAAGAGAATGCGCCAAATCCTAATATAAAGTATATAAACAATCCGGATATCTCTATTAAAGAGGTAACTAGAGCAATAGCTAAGATCAGTCTATATAAAGCGCTAGGTATAGATAGTATTCTAAACATTATATAAAAACACTTATAGTCCATTTTAAATAACTAAGTTACTAATATCTTTAATATATTATATTAACTAGGATACGTGCTATCTATATAGAAGATAGCGCAAATCCTATTACTATAAAAGCTAAGGAAACCTAATTACTATATAGTAAAAGCATATTGCTCTATCTCCCTCTTAGCTACTCTAAGTAAGCTAATAGAACTAGTATTAGCAAAAAGAATATTATATTAAATAGAGACTTTTAATCTCCTTTTAAAAATACAATTTAATATTAAGCTAAGATAATTATATAATTAAGCGTTGCTCCTTTTAATTAAGAAAATCTTTAAAGCATAGCAATAGAAGAAAGTTCTTTCCCTTATTAGCTTTAATATAAAGAAAGCATATAATAGTGTTTTTTAATAAATGCTTATTAGTTAGCTATATACAGAAGGGATCATAACCTATATAGTTATATAGGTTAACTTATTTTACATTGACTAATTAGCTATAGTACTTATTAATAGCACAGAATCAAATTAAGTCACTTTTACTAAATTAGGCCTTTTATAAGGATCCACACTTGCTCTAATTCTATATATCTTCTTTAACGCCTTCTTAATAAAAGAGAAGATTAATAGAAGACAAGGTAATATAGGGTTTATAAATAACTATATTTAATAGGCTATCTCAGAGTCTATAAAACAAAATATATCAATACTTAACAATAAAGTAGTTCTAAAGGCCCTCTAATAAGCAAAGGATAGTAGCGCTATATTTAAAAGCAATAAGGCAATCCTTATATATTTTATATAGAATTATAAGAAGATTAGCAATACTGACTTTCTATTAAAAGTAAATAACTACATTGTTAAGCCTTTAATAAAAGAGAGAATCTTAAAGGTTGTTTTTAACGCTAAGCTATAATTTAAAGATCACTTAGCTAAAGTCAAAATGAGAGGATAAAGAAGCGCTAGTTAATTTAAATACCTCTTTTATATTGGATTATAATTAGCGCGTTAACTATACTAAGCTATAGTAACCTTAAGAACTGACTATATAGCAGCAATATAGTACTTTCGGTTTCTTAAAGGAAAGATTGATAATAGCGTTATTAAGATTCTTAATTCTATATAATAGATAAAAGCCTAAGCAGTAGTTAAATGCTTTTATATAATATTAATTAAAGCGTCTAATATTAAAGCGTTGCTTCCCCTTTTATATATCCAACTTTGGCTAAAGATTAGCAAATTTTAAATAGGGCTCTATACGCTGCTAGAGACTAACCTATTAAAAGTATAGCTGCAAAAGCTAGGTGAGAAACCTAGAATAAAGTTGTTTGCCTCTTTGCTTTATTATATAAAAACACAGCTAGGCAAGTTAGAAACAAGGATTGAAACTATCCTAGCATAGATAGCTCTATTATAAAGCATAACAACAATTAATAGCAAGTCCGACTAGTATAGTTCAAATAAAGTATACAAAAACTATCTTAAAATAAAAAATTAATATCTAAATATCTTTATTAACGGATCTATTACTAACAGACAGGCAGGAATTGGAATGGCTATATACTTTAAAAAGCTTATATTATTGTCCATTCTGTCTTTATAAATTAAATCAAAAAATAACACTAATAGCATATTAATAGAGCTAATTGCAATTAAAGAAGCTATAACAATAGCTGGAATTATACTAGAAACACTTTATAACTATAAAAGGCTGCTACTGTAAGTATTAATATAATCTAATAGCAAAATAGCTATTTATATAGTTAATTGCTAAGCTAGCCAAAACAGGGCTATAATAATATAGAACATCCTTTATATAATTA